ATTGTGGCGTTGGGGGGGGGTCTCTCAGCCCAGCCTGCCCCCTCTCACATACTGGGAGCCCTAGGGGGAAGTCTTAGTGATGGCTTAGACCTGCTCCCTGCTCCCTTTGGGGAGTGGGCCTAAGCTGCAGTCTGGTCTCCCTTTGCGGGAGGCGACCTGGCCAATCGGGAAGGCACCGCTGCCCCCATCACCCCGCTGCTGCTGCCACTGCCGGCCACCATGGCTGCCTGAGCCCAGGCCCTCGCAGCTGCCGTGGCTGCCTAAGCTGCGGCCTGCCTCTCCTTTGTCCAAATGGATGCCCGGATGGACGTCTGGAAGACTTCTGCTCTAATTAGCATATTACCTTTTTATTAGTATAGATATACTAGATATACTATATATTCGGCTGGTGCATGAATTCATGCACGGATGAGGTCCCTCGGCCTGGCCTGGTGATCAGGGCCAGTCAAGGCCAGTCGGCTGAGGGGAGGGACCGTGAGAGGTTGGCTGTGAGAGCGCACTGACCAGCGGGGTGCAGCTTCTGCATTGAGCTTCTGTTCCCTGGTGGTCAGTGTGTTGTCATAGTGACCGGTAAACCGGTTGTAACAGTCACTTAGGCTTTTATATATATAGATAGGTGGGAACACTAAGAATAACATAAAGCTTTCTTATTTTTGAACAGTTCCCTATTCTGATGTTTCAATGAGCAGGTTACCTGAGTAAATGAGCACCAAACTTGCTTGATTGGAATTGTTTAATTTTATTAGTCTCTAGAATATGAAAATTTCTCTCAAACTTACTTAAGGAAAGGGTTGTTTCAAGATTTAAAAGAAATGTGACAGTAATGTCTGTTTTGTTTACTGTTAAATCACTACCATGGTAGGTATTTACAAATATTTGTCCAGCGAATGAATAAGAGTTTGTTTTTGGTGAATTTGCCACTGTTTTCAAGTGCATAACATACTTATCAGATTCTGAAAAGGAATTTTTAGACAGTTGAGCATCTCCATATTAACTAATTGTTGCATTAAATAATCTTCCCCACATTAACTTAATTGTGGTTCTTTTTTGAGAAGTTTTTTAATTGTGGAAGATATGATTCAAATAGAAGAACAAAACATTTATGTAGTTTAACCAGTTAACTGCCATAAGTGTCTATAGATGCAAGAGGCGAACCTTTTTTAATCAAATTCAAAATATCATGGCAGTTAACTGGTTAAAAAGCAAACACCTGGTTAAGAAGCAGAACACTGTGAGTATTTGAAAAGCCCCCAGGTGTTTTCCTCCCATTGCAAGCTCTCTTCCTTTATCCCCAGAGATAGCCACTTTGCTTGGTTTTATTTTTAAGATCTTTGAATATATCAAAATATATCCTTAAGTAGTTGTTTAATTTTGAGAATCGGACTAGCAAGCATAAATCTTAACTGTAAAGAAAGAGTAATATTGCTACTATTAGATGAAGTCTCACTGAAGGAGGTAGGTGAATAGTCTCATTTCTGCTTTCCTGAGAGTTGACAAGAACTCTTTTCAGGGAAGTCCATGGATAAGACTTTGAGTGAATCCTGGAAAATAGCATCTGTTTCCCATAGTTGGACATCTGGCAGTACTGTGGTACCAATACTGTATAGAAAAAGTAAAAAAAAAAACAAAAACACCGAGTGACATAAATGGAAAAATAGGAAGAATCAATATTATAAATTCTCTTTAAATCCTGTCTAAGATTTCTGTTCATGTATCATCTAATCTTTGAGAGTTTTTTAGATCAACCAAATAAAGTTGCTTTATTTTTCACTATAATGCTTATCCCCATCTAATAGAAATATATAGTTACTTACTTACTTGTCATTTTCCCCTTTCTGGTGTGTAAACTTAAAAAGATATGTATATATCCTACACCCAGAGTGTG